CGAGTAGGAACGACCCTATTACGCGTAGACTCTATTTTGACGAAAAAAAAAAATGCATAAGTATGAGTAAGAGTATTTAGCGGTGCATTGAAGACATGCATTTTTAAAATATTATTACTTATATAAATAAAACTGTTGATACACTAATATTAGGTGAAACCAAGCTAGATAACTCCTTTCCAATAAATCAATTTTTATATTCAGATTATAAAACGCCTTATCGGCTTGATATCTCTATTGGAGGTCTTCTTGTATACATAAATGAAAATATCATCTCTAAAAGATTAGCTAAAAAGCATTTCCCTAGTGGCAATCAAGTTATCACTTTTAAAAATAAATTAAGAATGCGGAAAGGTCACTTATAAACCCGCAAATCAGAATTGTGACTATTTCTTCAATCACTTTAAAGGAGTGCTTGACTTTTATTTGCAATCTTATCTTGATTTTATTCTAATTGGAAAAATGAAGGAATTCCTTCAACTTTATCAATGTACTAATTTATTTAAACAACCGACTTGTTTTAAATCGGTTAATATCCCTTCCTGTAAAGAGCTTATCCTTACTAACAGAAAACTGAGCTTCCAACATTCAAATACTTTAGTACGGGTGTCAGTGATCATCACCATTTAATATACACCATGCTAAGATCCACTTTTTGTAAGTGACCACCTAAAAAACTTATATATAGGTTGTTCAAAAATTTCTCAAGTGAGATTTTTTCAAAAATACTCCGTTTTAACATAAAATCTTGTTGTGATATTGGTACTTTTAATGAGATATTCAGTAATTTTCTAAATATTTAGAAAATTACTGAATATCCCTCTTAAATCAAATATCTTAAGAGGTAACAATAAACCTTTTATAAGTAAAGACTTACAAAAAGCAGTTATGCTCCCGTCTTCATTATATAAATAATTTTTAGTTTATAAATCAGATTTTTCAGCTCTAATGTACAAAAAACAAAGGAATTTGGTGGTTAAGTTAAACCGAAAAAATAAAAAGACGTATTTTTAGCAAATCAATACACTTTCCACTTCAAATTCATCTCTCTGGAAGCTAACTAAGCCTTTCTTTTCGGACAAATTTACAAATTCTAAAGAGCGTATCACTCTGAATGAAAATGGTAACATTATCTAAGACAGTTCTTTATTGACTAATATTTTTAATAACTATTTTATAAATGTTGGATCGCCATCAAGTATGGCCGACCATAAAAAATGGTTTTTTTCTTCTTGCAATTCAGACCCAGTTAAGTCAGCTATTAAAAAGTATGTTGACCATCCTAATATAACAAACATTAAAAATAAATTCAAAATAAATGCACTAAATTTCATGTTCCATTGTATTACATCTGATGATATTACAAAAAATATAGGACCTATGAACGAAAAAAAAAAACTTTTATGTTAAAATCTTACTTAATACACTTTAGGGATAGTCTTACAGATTGTATCAATAATAGCTTCTTAGATATAACATTTCCGTCTTTTCTGAAAATGGCGGATGTTTTACCGTGTCTTAAGAAAAATGACCCAACAGATAAAGCTAACTATCGCCCTATAAGTAATCTACTCGCTCTCTCCAAAGTTTTTGAAATAATCGTTTATGAACAGATTTTGTTATTTATGGAGCCAAAATTTGACAAACTTTTGTGTAGTTTTTGTAGAGATTGTAGTACTCAGCATACACTTTTTTTTACTTAATAAGTGACATGAATGCATTAACAGTTGAGGTATTGTTGAGACAATATTAATGGATCTATCTAAAGGGTATGATTTCATTCTGCATGACCTACTTATTGCTAAATTAGAAGCGTATGGTTTCTCTAAAGAGAGCCTAAAATTTCTAATATCGTATATTAGTGATCGTAAACAAAAGGTAAGGATGGGACTTTCTGTTTCTAATTGGGTTGTATTTTATCAGGAGTGCCTCAAGGTTCCATCCTTGTTCCCATCCTCTTTAATATCTTTATAAATGATATATTCTTATTTATTTATATATATGCTGAATTGCGATAATTTGCTGATGATAATACGCTGTATGCCTGTAATTATAGCTTAGAAAAGGTTATTTTTTGATTGCAAAAAGAAGCAACTAATACTATTCCCTGGTTTAAGTTGAACTAGATGGTTGCCAACCCTGATAAATTTCAAATTTTAAAAAACACAAAAAATCAATACCTAAAAATAGGTAATATAAGAGTTTTTGCCTCTGATAGGGTGAAACTACTTGGTGTTACAATTGATAAGAATCTAGATTTTGGAAAACACATTAAATACTTATGCAGTAAAGCTAATGGTAAATGTTTAGCTCTTTCACGCATAAGAAATTTTTTATCCCGTAACAAAGCTACCTCGTTGTTCAACGCCTTCATAATGTCAAAAATTCTTATTGTCCCCTAATTATTATTTTTTGTTCTGAATACTATGACAACCCTTATAAATAAAATTCATAAAAAAGCTCTTTGTATTGTCCATAAAAGGTTTGACTTATCTCTTGATGAGTTGCTAAGTTTTGATAATAGTCTGAGGATCCACTTATGAAATTTGCGCTTTCTTATAATAGAAGTTTTTAAATCAATTAATTGTCTAAATCCAGAATTAATGAAGGATTTATTCAATACAAAAAAGCTTCCTTTTAAACTTCGCTGTAACAAAAAAATGATTCTACCTTCAAATGGCTCCAAATAAATGGATACATGTTGAGCTGTATTTAGAGCCACCTCGTTATGGAACACTCTAGATAACAAGATGATACCCTACAAAAATCCTGAGTTGTTCGAAAAACATATCAAAAATTGTTATGCAAAAAATTGTTATTGTAAAATTTGTCGCATTTAACTACTATTTTTATTTATCCTGGCATTAAAATACAATATTTACTCATTTTTCTGTAATTAAACGGTTGTAATTTGAATATTTTAATATTATTCGTAATTTTTATTATAACTTTGTAAATTGCAGTTTATATTTTGTTTTTAAATACTTTTTAAAATTTTAATCGTAAATTGACAATATATATGTGGACATTTTTTTTTAACGATTTTCATGTGAGTGTGTATTGTCTATAATTGTTAAATGTGTTGATTTTAATTAGTTTTATTCTTGTTAAAACTATTGTTACCATCAACAAAAAATAAAGTTTTTAAAATAAAAATTAAATTAAATTATCTTCTTTCATTATTATATATTATTGTTATTATTACTATTGTTATTGTTATTACTATTATTTTTATTATTATTAGTACTACTATAAAAATGAATTACAGAAAATAAATAAATAAATGGCTTGTTGTGGTTGTTGTTGTTGTTAAAACTTTTTTGTTTACAAAACGTTTAGTGCATGTCTGATGTGAGTGTTTTCTTTTTTTACATATGTTTGATATGGTGCTTGTAGCCACGCCGCATGTAGTCATGGCGTAGTTAGTTAAATGTTTTTCCGCGGTACTCTTTGATAAAACCATTTTATCTTCTTGAAACACCTGAATAACTAAAACAACAAAGGCAACTTTTAAGTAGCGTTAAGACATTTTATTTAAAATCATTATACCTAATTTTTCAAAGAGAATTTGTGATCCATTGTACTTAAGGCTTTTAATAATTCTATAATAACTTTTGACGTATATATAAATTTTCTAAACGACTCCACAATTTTTGCGCAAATTTCGCTAAAACTGCGATATTTGCGTGTATTGTAAAGTAGTGTGTTGCTAATGCATTGTGTATGTAAAAATGAAGTGCATTTATGTGGGTAATTGTACAGTATTGAGTGTTCTGTTGAAATCGTTTTAAACTTTTTTTTAAATTGTATTAGATCTTATTGAGTGCAATATAATATATTGTTTGAAAATAGATGTTTGAAAATAACAATGTATTAAATCCTCTTGGATACATCCTATTTTCAAACATCTATTTTTAAAAAATATATTAGGCGATAGTTTAAAATATTGTTTACATCAAATCTTTGACTATTTTTAGATTTTCTGTTAAAACTGTTTTATTGAACAATATAAAAATTCAAATAGAGTATCTTCAACGACATCGTAAGAGTCAATAGTAACGTTTCGATTGATATCTTGTTATACTTAACCAATTTGAAGTAAATCAAACATTCAAAAGATACCTTAAAATAATTTTAAAACAATTTTATCGAAAAAGCATACTCATTTATTTTGCAAATCACGATCGAAACTTTTAGAGCCAGATAAAATCCGATTGTTAAAAAAAAACTTGAATAGTTCAAAAGCTATCACACATTGTAAAACTAATTAATCTGAGTATAAAACAAAGTTTTTTGTAGTCAAATAAAATGCAATAAAAATTGAGCCAAAATTCATCAAATGGTACTTTGATTCATTAACTAAAATTAAAGTCCTATTTTATCTAACAAGAAGCTAAAGAAGTTGTTAGCTTATTTGTTAGGTTATTTTTTCGTTATTTAAATGATTTTATTAGCAGTATATATTTTTATCAAATATATATATTTTTTCCTTTAAAAAAGTGCAAAGTTTTGATACATGGAAAACGTATTAGTAAAATAACTTTTGAGATTCCTAACGTTTATTAAATCGAGAGTTTTATTAAAACCAACAAACTTTACGTAGAATTTACTTAAACTTAAGGCATCTTGTTTTAGAGCTTTAAAATGGTGCTTTAGACGTCTTTAATATGTTGTTAAGACGTCAATCTGAGACGTTGTTTAGATGTCTGACAGACATTTATGTGCCCACTGGGAGATATATAAGAGCTAACTTTGTATCAATAATAATGTAAACTTAATATCAAAAATAACAAAAATAAAAAGCATTGAAAATAACATACGTAAGGTACAGTCCTTAGTATTTCTGAAAGATCTCGCAAGTTATTATAAATGGCACACAAATTTAAGTAAGAGCATTGTAATTTGCCTCACAAACATTTAAGCAATCGTTTATCGTAAAAAAGCTTTAAAAAACATTGAAATTTATTATATTTGAAACCACAGTAAAAAGCCTCAAAAAGTATAAAAACATAAAACTTTTAATTAAAGGTTTTTTTCTAAATCATTACAGTGGCTAAATTCATCTGTATTTATCTGCTTATTCGTCGGTTTTGTCTTTAGTCGAATCTTTCATAACTTCATCTAAAAACAAAAAGTTGTCAATAACTTTTTTTCTTTTCTGGTGGAAATAATTATCTTTGCTTAATGCTAATTATAAAGTAATTTTAAATGAAAAGAAATTGAATTGAAATAGGATAGAGTACTTTATGCATAAAGTGCGAAAAAGCTCGCTGTATGTTTATTTTAATGAAAGGGGTGTATATTTTTTCTATTTTAAAATAAAAATATATAATATAAATATATTTATATTTATATATACAATATATGTATTTAAAATCCAAAACTATGTTTAATTTGAAAAACAACTTAAAAAAACTCTCAAACCCAGTGGACACCGGACCTAAAAAAGACGTAATATATATATATATATATATATATATATATATATATATATATATATATATATATATATATATATATATATATATATATATATATATATATATATATATATATATATATATATATATATATATATATATATATATATATATATATATATATATATATATATATATATATATATACATATATATATATATATCTATCTTTTATTGAAGAGGAATATATATATATATATCTTTTATTGAAGAGGAATACATTTTTTCGAAATTGTAAACATTATATTATCAATATAATATGCTTGCAATTTCGGCCGGCCAGTAAGTTGAATAATAATAAAATCAAAGGTCACGTAATTTTCTAACACGTGTGAAAGTTATGTATTTTCCTGAGATATTAAAGGACCATTTGATGACTTCTTACTAAGCTTTAAAAAAAATAGGGTTCTTGAATATCTAAAAGTACTCCAAAATCAATTTCAATCTCTTTCGGCGAAAAATGTATCAAGTTTGAACAATGTTATAATGTAGATGTGCCAGGATTTCCTAACAGTGTGAGAATTAAAAATGCATTTTTTAAACCTTCAGTCTTTCGTACCATTCGCATTTTTATAAAGGCAAAAATCTTTACAACACTTTATGTATCTTAATGACGCCCTATTTTTTGTACTTGCAATTTAACTTTTCTTCTCTTCTTTTTTTTAATATTTAAAGTTTTTATTTTTTGCAAAATTAGTTAAAATAGCAACAATGTATATATAGTACCATTAATGGATACCCATGGTAGCCAACTTACATATGGCACCATACATGGCAACCACTTTCTTGCATAAGAGGCAAAATCCAACAATCTTCTAGCTTTATCCTAAAACTAACAATATTTCCCTACTTTTGCTTTTGAATAACTATGTTGTACTTGATAACATTCTGTAGTTTACACTCATTTGCTTTCCTCCAAAATAGCAGTTCAAGCCTTTAGACGTTGACTTTTTTAAACCAACAAAGAAAATTTTGACGTTAGTTTCTTTAAACCAATGAAGGAAATTCGGTGAGACATTTTTTGCAATTTCTTTGGAGAATTTTGTCATACGTTGGTTGACAAGGCTATTCCAATATTTCCAACTATATTAAGACTAACTTTGAATAAAACAAACAAACAATAAAACAACAACAACAGCAACAACAACAAACAATGCTTTTATGAATTTTTAAAGTAATTTTTTTTGTAATAATCCGTCTTTAGAATTTTAGAACTCTTATCTATATTTTGTAAAAAGCATAAGAAGTAATAACTTTTTTTTAAATCACCAAAAAAATTTATTTTACCTAAAGTAGTAAAAAAACACTTTTTTTTTTAATTGAGAGAAGTTCATTGTTTGCATACTCTCTCCAGTTAACGTCTGCCATGACATTTACAATAAGTGTTCCACGTATAGAAAAACAAAACCGAAAAAAAGGACTAGGTCTTGACCCTCTGCCGAATATAACAGACCAGACCTTATTCTATACCTGCCTCTAAACAATCCAATTACGAGCCAAAATGCAGTTATAAACAACAACAAAAAAGAAAGTATTTTAACTTTTATTTAGGTTAAAGGAACTTCTATAAAATTTCTATTAAGGCTTTTATACATTATATTCTTTAAAAGTGTATAGAAAATCAAATAAACTTATAAAATAAAGAGTTTATAAATATTATGTTAACTTCCGATTATTCGAGCAATTTTCTTCAAATAAGAAAAACTTCTAATTAATGAAAATCCACTCTAAAGTGGCTTTTTATAATGCAATAAATTTTTAACAGAACTACTAAAAAGAAATTACTCTCTTGGAAGTTGCTGCATTTTTTCTTGCAAAAATTAAAAAAATCCTCATGTTACTAAAAAATTAATAATTTCAGGCTTTTTTTCTTAGTGTTTGTAAAACCTCTGAATTACGAGTATTATGTTATTGTCTGATTTCTCTTCTTGTAAAAATTGCCACTCTTGTAAAAAAAGTAGTTCACATATAGATTGGAAAAAAAAAGCATTCGAGTAAACTTTTTGCATGAGCAAACCCTGTTGAAGTTTTCTAAAGTTTATGTTTGAAGGTAAAATCGAAAATGAAATAAAAAAGTTCATTTGGATTGAGGTTGTTAAAAGACAAAATCGTTTTTTATGAGGCAATTGTACGACACTATTAAAAATGCTTTTTTTTCTTTTTAATTTCCAAGAAGGGCATTTTTTCCACCAAAATCTTCCCGGCTTGATAGGCCTGTTAAGGTGGTTCACCTATATAAAAAAAGCTACAAAATTATTATTATTTTTTATCTCTTTGACCGAAATATGTTCCGTTTGATGTTTTGTTATTGTGAAAAAAGTTAAAAAAAAAACTTTTGTTTCTTTTTTTATTAAACAAAATTTTAAAGGATGTATTTTAACGACGCTTAGAAACACGCATAGCATCGTAGACATCATCAAAAAATTATTAGCAAAATCTATATTTAACTCGCTAAAATCATGTTATTTTATGTACGAGTATTTTGTATACTTTGCTTTATTTTATGTACGAGTATTTTGTATACTTTGCTTTATTTTTTGTGTTAATTATAAATAGTTCTAGCCATGTTTCAAAGTAACAAAAACATTTTTTTAATACAAAAACTTGATGCTTTTTTCTGTACTCTTTGAATTGTTTTGAAACTCATTTAAACTTTGCAAATTTTTTAATGAACATTGTATGTATTAAATTTAGAGATTGTAAAATTCTCTAGCAAAGAGAATTTTACAATCTCTAATACTTTTAGATTTTTAATAAAACTTTTCACGTTTTATGGGAACAAGTTCTCAGAATTAAAATAGCAGAATGTTTTGGTTGTTCAACCGGCTGTAGCCTGATCAAGTGGAAGAAAATTAGTGGAATGAACGTACCAATGTAATAAAAGAAAAAAAAAAGTTATTAATGAACTTGAAAATTTAGAATATTTTGAAAACTTTTCCAATTTAAATAATTGAGTACCACTTCTGAAATGTCATGAGTGTAGCAGAACTGTGACCCTAACAGGTAATCTTAAATTTTGAAATGGGTTTTGTAACTTTTTATTAGTTGTAGCAAGGTCTTTGAGTATTTGATTTTTGTTATTATTAGAATAATTTTTCACCCATGATATTGAAATTTTAAATAGAAGATGTATTTCAAGGACAAAGTAACTATGAAGCAAATCTGCGTTATTGCTTTTTGTGTTAAAAAAAGAAGTTTTTTGTGGAAAAGAGAAGTTATTGAAATTTAAGCACCCTAACCGGTGCGCTGCTATCTGCTTACTGCGTTTAGGGATCAATTGAATGTTATTTTTATAATACAAATCAAAATAAATGTTTTTAATGGCAGATATTTATTTTAATAAATAAATATAGGAATCATATAATCATTTTGTAATTTAACATTGTTTCTTATAACAATGTAGAATGTTACTATTTTTAAAGTGATAAGTATATAAAATAGTATAAAAGAAGTTATACTTTTAACCACCTAATTTATATGCAGCTAACAAAGACTTTTCATCAGCAGAGTACTCTAGCTTCCGTTTGGTTACCTAATTTATTAAGCTGATACTTAGATCTTGTGACATATTTTATAATCATTTATGTAACATATTTTACATTGACATATTTTATAATCATTTATGTGACATATTTTACAGTGACATATTTTATAATCATTTATGTAAAAGACACCTTAACATTTATGCTTTCTTTAAAAAACATCTCAATTGACAGTTTTTTGGCTTTTATTTCTTGATGATTAGTACTTTGTGAACAAATCGGGCATATCGTATTAGCCAGAAAAACAATAGCCCAACAACAAGTATAAAATAAAATAGAATTAGTTGAATTAATGGTTCTTTTCGACATCTTTTTCTCCGATAGTAGTGCATTAACAACAATTGCGTTGTCTGTGATAAAAGTATTTTAAAAGTAGGCTAATGTTAAATTCAAAAAAAATAAAAATAAAAAAAATTCTTATTTTAAAGAAATTTCTGGCTCTATTTTCAAAATTTGATGTCCCAGAACCTCTGGATCTGGAATCATCTGATTCCGTTTATAAAGCGTAGAGTTCCCTGCATCAAAACTTTTCTAATCTTGGGTAATAATACCCTTTAGTTTTACAATCCCTTGGCGCACATTTGGAAAAAACCATAAAGTTTTTTCCAAATGTGTGCCAAGTGTGTTTACAACCTCTTCCCTTTCTTCTAACCATCTTCTAAAACACCCATTTTTTAGCTGCTTTAATTCGAAACAGAGACTTACAGCATGCCCTTTCTTGAATGAAATAAATGTGCTATGCTATGAAGTCAGATTAGGACCAAAATCTAGGTACAGGGCTTAGAAAATTGTGGTTATAATATGAAAAAGGAAAATTATATAAATTAGGGAAAAAAAATATTTTGTTGAGATGGATAGCGTACAAACCAAAGTTGACTTTGTTGCCAATACTGATGATACAAATGGTATTTTAAAACCAATTTTGTTACTTGGTAAAAATTTTCAGTTCTTTTTTAATAAAGGTGTAATTTTTGTTCCAGGGTCCATATAAGGTTTATAAAACAAATAGCGAATTTACAAATAGCATTTTTTTCGGTTCCGAAGGCGTCGTAGTTAAATATTTTTAGATAATACCGGTTTTTAAAAACTTTTGATGAGTTTTTTAAAAAAAATTGTTAACGTAAATTGAAAAAAGAAAAAGATTCTTGTTGTCTAACATTTGCCGACTGCCAACTACAATTCCAAATTAAACGACTAAATAATTTCTAAGGGGAAGACATAAGGACGATACCTTAAGGTAATATTCAAGTTTTCCTAAATAGTTTTATTTGTGAATATTATTAAAATTAATGTAAATTAGAGTAAATTTGAGTCTGCAACACCGATATCATTCCACAGAAACTTTGTTTATAAATTAGAATACAATTACCATCATTGAATAAAACATCACAAAACAAAACAGTGAAGGTTTACTCACTCTCAAAGGTAAAACAGTTCCAATATTTTTGAATTTTAGGCTTGGTAAACAGTGTTTTGATAAGCGACACTTTAACAGAAAACTAGATGTGTTATAGCATCAAATAAGAATCGTTTTTGTGATGTCAAAAACTTATAACATAATCAAAACAAGAGATAAAAACACAAGAAAAGTAAAAACTCCGAATATATTACGATTATTATAGAACAGTTTTTTAGGTTAAAAAAGTATTCTTCTTATATTTTTGCAACATTACTGAATAAATTTCTTATTTAAAACTATTTTATAGTATTTATATTAATAATTTTATTTATACATGCTTGCTTATAAAAACTTTGAACAGGAGCGATTTTACTTTGAATACCGGAGGCCGTGAAACCCTACCCCCCCACAAAGATGGCGATTTTTAACTTATAGTAAGTTTTTTCCAATCAGTCTTCTTTCTGTAATTTAGCAAGGTTTTTGAGTCTTTGATAAAGAAATTTCTCACATCTTATCTTGAGTCAAATAACTTACTGCCAGACAATCAATACGATTTTCAATCCTCTTGCTCTACGGCTAACTTGCTAGCTGCTGTGACTAAAAGATTCTATCGTGCATTAGATGGAGGCTGAGAGGCTAGGGCTACTGCTCTTAACATATCTAAGGCTTTTGACAAAGTTTGGCATGTAAGTCTCCATCAGCTTATTTTATATGGTGTATCTCGGGAAGTTTTTGAAATCATTAAATTGTTTCTTTCTAACCGGTTTATTAAAGTTATCCTTGAAGAGAAGATACCCTTCTTCTTTATTTCCAGTAACTTCTGGGATACCTCAAAGGTTTATCTTTGGTCCTGTTTTATTTCTTATCTACCTTAATGATCTTCCCGACAACCTTACATCTAAAGTAGCTCTTTTTCCTGATGACTCAACTTTATACTTCTGTCTTGACAAAAAGTATTATTTTTTCGATCATTTAGAACAGGCCACCGGTGTTAAATCTTACTTCTGTAACAATTTTGGAGCTCACAGTGATTTGAAAACTTTAACACAATTAAAACTCAGTTATTTACTACAAACAACTATCGTAGTGCTGTTGACATTCCTAAAATAATGAATGGAAACCCTATCTTTTTTTTACGTCTTTTTGGATTATTGTTTACTACTTTCATGAAAACCACATATACAATCAATTGCTAAAAAAGCATCTGCTAAGGTTGTTTTTCTTTAATGTGCTCGTCATCATCTAAGTCCTGATTCCATTCTCTACCTCTACAAATCTCTTATTTTTTCCTGTATGGAATATTGTTGTCATACTTAGGCTGGTGCTTCTAATAATGCTATTTCTCTGCTAGACAGGTTCCAAAAACGCATTGTAAACGTAATTGGACCCGCTTTATCGGCTAAACTTGAGCCTCTTTTCCATCGTCATAAAGTTGAATCTCTTTCTTTTTTCAATAAATACTATCATTGTCGTTGCTCAAAGGAGCTATCATATCTAATTCCATCAATTAAAACTCATTCTCGCTTTATTAGTCATTCAGCAAAGTCTCATTCTTTTACTGTATCTGTCCCAAGATGCTCTAAAAACTTTTATGCGTCTAGTTTTTTTTCCCGCAATTAAATTTTTTGAAACTTGTTTAAACGTTTTATTTCCACCCATGTATAACAAGTAATCGTAAAAAAGTACTTTAATTGTTTTAAAAAGGTTTAAAGTATATAACAATGGAATTGAATGTAGGACAATCAAAAAAACAATGAGTTAATATAAGGGCGGATCTAAAAAAATTGGATTGAAGTTTTTATTATAAATTATGGAATATATAGAAAAAGATGTCATCTTACTTATGGACAGGGCCGGCGCGAGTAGGTGTCATGTGGGGGGAGGGGGGGATGGTGGTGCCATTACAACTTTTGCCGACTAAAAAAAAAAAAAAAAAGGTCCTCGTTTTTCAAACTTTGCCGACTGTCATGACGTCATTTGCCGACTGTCTAACCTTTATCGAAAGGGTCCACATTTGCCGACTAACTAGGTCTAATTTGCCGACTAAGGGTCCAATTTGCCGACTAAGGGTCCAGTTTGCCGATCATTGATAAAAATCATTGATGGGGGGGGGGGTGTCACAACCCCCCACACCCCCTATCGCGCCGGCCTTGCTTATAGATGAACGTCGTTAAAAACAAGTGATAATTAGTATTAAGTTTTTGTTTTAGTATCGTATGATTATATACCAAATGATTGATTAAAAAATTTTTTTAGAATATTGGTACGTGCATTTGCCTCAATTCTGAATATACATAACACATATTTTGCACCCAGTAGTATACATGACCAACAAACTGCCGTCGGGCACTCGAAAATTAGTTTGAAACTAAATTTTTATTTTACTACCTATTTAACTATTTTAATTTATAAAAAGTTTCGTATCGTTGCAACCCATTAGGTATTTAAATTTATAAAACACTTAGTTTCGTATCTAGCGTTGCAACCCATTAGGTATTTTAATTTATAAAACAATTAGTTTCGTATCGTTGCAACCCATTAGGTATTTTAGAACACATTTAAAAACCAGATGTGAAGTTATAGTTTAGTGAAAAACGACTATACATTAACTATCAACACAAGGTAAAATTAAAATGATAAAATCAAAAGAAAGTTGAAATATTTTTTGATTATCATCTCCAGTAAAAGCACTTACATTTGCACACTGCGTAGCATCCGTTACAGTAGTTAGGGATACATTGAGAACCGGCAGGGCAGCTATAAGCTTTACAAGGGTCAATGAAGCAATGAAAAGTTTTACAAGCTAAAATAAATTTAAAATTAAAAAAAGTACATAATTATAAAAATAATTATTTTATATTTATTTTTAACTAAGAAAGCTAAAATAATGTAAAATATTATGATAATAAAAAAATATATACAAAACCATACATATAAAACAACCAAATATAAGTATAAAACATAAATATAAAACAACAAAAAATATAAACAAATAAAAACAAATTCCATATTTTACACATTAAAATATTTACACAAACTGAAAAAGTTGTAATTATTTAAATTAAAAAAAAAACTGAGTAAATAAAACGAAATTGCAATTTCTTTTTGCCTAATAAAAGTACCTACGTTTGCAAACTGCTTTGCATCCGTTACAATAGTTTGATACGCATTGATAGCCGTTAGGACACTGATAAAATTGGCAGGGATCAACTAAACAGTTTACTGGATTACAAGCTAAAACAAATTTTAAAATAATAAACGTAAATTTAAAAGTATTACAGAACAAAGGTCATTAATTTGCTGAAAAAAGTTTGAATTCTTTCGAAATGAACCATGTAAATAAAAGCTCTATTTTTTTCTGGATCTGCATGCATCCGTCAGCAAGATTAAACATGATCATGTGACCACAGACACGTTACAAAATCAAAAAAAAAATTATAATAAGATTCGTTTTATAATCTAACTTTTCAAATAATTTCAAAATGCGTAAAAGTAAATTCTTCATTGTCGGCAAAAAATACATAGTAGAAATGTATGCATTTAAAAACAATTAATTAGTTAAAGTTTATTCGTTTTTTTAGATTGCATACGTTGCAAATGTGCATCTTTTAATTAGTAGTTTGTAAGGTTTTGCAATGATAAGTTTAGAAAAGTTATCAACTTACGAGTTAAAGGAATTCCTAGCGATTGATGTAAAATATACAACATAAAAAAGTAAATTTTCATTTTCTTATTGATTTTTAAATATTTTCTTTTATGTTTTCTTCTAGAACGTTTTATCTCTATTACTAAAAAATGTCATTTTATAGTTTTAAACCTTTTTATTGACGTCATTGAATCTATAAACGTTTTACAACTATAAATATCAATATATGCAGTTATAAAAAAGGGTTAGTTACGGATTTTCCCTCTTAACATAGGGAAAATCCGTAACTAACTATTTTTTGATTATTTTTATAACTGCATATATTGATATTTACAGCCTTTTTTTAAAATTAAAGCCTACAGAATATATTTGTATATGTATGTATGCATGCATGTATGTATGTATGTATGTATGTATGTATGTATGTATGTATGTATGTATGTATGTATGTATGTATGTATGTATGTATGTATGTATGTATGTATGTATGTATGTATGTATGTATGTATGTATGTATGTATGTATGTATGTATGTATGTATGTATGTATGTATGTATGTATGTATGTATGTATGTATGTATGTATGTATGTATGTATGTATGTATGTATGTATGTATGTATGTATGTATGTATGTATGTATGTATGTATGTGTGTGTGTGTGTATGTATGTATGTATGTATGTATGTATGTATGTATGTGTGTGTGTGTGTGTGTGTGTGTGTGTGTGTGTGTGTGTGTGCGTGTGTGTATGTATGTATGTATGTATGTATGTATGTATGTATGTAAAGTGATTTTAAATGGCTTTTTGTAAATTCTATTGTTACATTTTTTATTTTTATTATTACATTTTTAAAAAATTCTAAAATGATATTTTTTAAAATGTGTTTATATTTCTTTTTATTTTATCAAAAAAAAAAATCACCTCTTATCCTCATCTTAATAAGCAAGTAAAATTGACTTTTTATAAAGTATTAAATTTTGTTAAAGTAATAAGTTTATTTATACACTATTTGCAAATTTGCCTCTTTTTTTTAGCATTTATTCACTATTGGCCAGTAAGATTCAATGTCCCTGGAAGTATCGCGCTCAACTTAATTTCTCCGCGCAGCGGCCTTGCTTGTCAAGGTTTCATGTTTCGGAGTTAAAGAGTTGAGAGAGGGTCGTACCACGATTTACAACAACAACAAAAAAAAAAAAAAAAAAAAAAAAAATGAGTAGCCTCCTCGACTGTAGTGGCCCCCTCGGGCCTTGGAGAGGTAATTAGTTACAAAAAAAAAAAAAATTGTCTCGCTGCTTTAGCATTGACTCTACTTTTTTATACCAATATTTTTTTATTTTATTTTATTTTAGTTATTTTTTTATTTTCAGTCCTTAGATATTTTTTTTGAAAAGTGGACCAATACTATTTTGCCCCACCCACCTTAAAACCCGTGTTGTCAGCCTTGGTTTTAGAATTAACCCATCGATATCCCATCGATTACCCATCTTAGAGATTAAGGATAAGAAAAAAAAAAGTTTTTAGACTAATAGTTAAAAAGTCATAAAAATTAAATAAACCAATATCTTGTATATTTTTAATTAATAAATATTTCTAAAACAAATTTTTTTTAGATTTATTTTCTTTTATGTACTTTGTCATTGGGGTTTAATTGTTTTGCCTATTTTAGTAAAAATTGACGTTGCACGATTTTGTAATCATTTCCAGCGGACACCGAAGTCATGGCGTTGTGGGTAATTTCGTTTTTTTTAGTAATTTTTAATAGGAATCGGATAAAGAGTTTGATGTCTACGTCTAATTGCAAACATCAAGCAAAACTATTATTCAATTGTAATCAAGTTGCATCACTAATTGGTCATTAAACTAATTTATAAGAAACATTTAACATTATTGTCATAATATTGTTTGAAGTTTTTTTGATAAGAAAAAAGTTCCACCCACACATTTATAATTTTTCTTAAAATAAAGTATTATTTAACCAATATTTTTTGATTCTTGATTAGTAATCAAAAATTGAACAGGAAATAAGATAAACATAGTTAGGTTTATTTAAAATAGATTCGTCGTATTAACAAAAAGTTGTTTTTGTTTTGTTTTGAAAAAGTTTTGCGTTGGGCAGTTGATTTTGTAATAAATAATGCGTACATACGCAGAAGGGAAGGGGGTCGGTGAAAGCATGACCAATTTAAAATAAAAAATTCTTTAGTAAATTTAAATGTCTAACTACTTTTTACTGCAAAAATTGTACGATTGTAATTTAAAAACTTTTACGTTAAATATTATATTATTAATTAGTAATCTAAGTAAATAACAGATTACAGAATGTAATGTATATTACCAAACCGTCATAATATATAAATCACATGTTAAATCATTTAAACCAAGTTTATTCAATTAATGTAAGACGCAGGTATGCCCGGCTCATATGGTATTAAATACGCATTTATACGTTTTAATATCATTATAAACCTTGCACCGACTGTCTGAAAAGTGACATGATTTTTTTTGATTAGAATCATCCGATTTTTATATATTTTTGTACTTTAGTACAAGTGCTTTTAAATTTTCAGGAAACGTCGCGACTTTTCATGAAAACGCAAAAGCATTATTTACGTCAAGAACTTCTTGACTTCAAAATATTGAATTACTTGACCTTTAATGGAAATGCAAAAGTAGCAAAAAAATGTTCATTAAGATATAATTGAAAATTATACTGCCTAATTTTTAATTTTTATGCAATTTATTATATTTTACACAAGAACACTCAAAGTGTATACTTTATAAGCGATTTATTATATTACATTCAAGCACACACAAGTAACTAATGCTAAAAATACAGCTTTGTTAAGTATTTTCCTGTTACGTCTTTATAATGGTAATAACGCATGATCAAGTTACTAAAAAAAGTCAAATTATTGACGTTGCCTTGTTAACAAATTAAGGTTGGAAATTTTATCTCCACTTACGTGACAAGTCAAAAAGATATAAAATTGCATTTCAAATCATTATTTAGTGTAAAGCATTTGAAAGAAATACATTTGACTTTAATTTTAATTGATTGAGAGAATGAAGTTTTTTGTTTGCAGTGTTTTTTATATATCTTATACATTTTTATTTATGATGTTTTTACATCTGTCGCTGGGATCACCTATAACTCGTAAGTTAGAAACCATTTTTAAATTAATTAGTAAGTAGTTTTGAAATTAAAAGTTATAATTAAATGTCAAAGTTTCAGTTGATTAAAAGTTTTTTTTGGTAAGTTTTAAGAAATATAATATAAGAAAAATAATTTGATATTTTGAAGAACTTTAACACATGCTAAAAGAAAACAATTATTTTTAAACTTTTCAGTTCAATTTTTCTCATACTTTTTAAATGTAATAGTCTTATTCATATCTCTTTGATTTTTTTTCTTTATGTTAATTTACCTCCCCAGGACCAAAAAGGCTGCTACAGTCAAAGAGGATAATTTTTTAAAATATGTTTACAATCCTCTCTCAACTCTATTACTCCGAAACAAAAATCTTGATAAACAAAGCCGCTACACGGATAAACAAGTTGAGATTTATTCTTTAATAAATAATGAATGGTCTTTGATAAAAAATATTTTTTACAATATTAAATTTGCATTTTAGGATTGCTCAAAAACTAAGTCACAAAATATTTGACCGTTTTTGACCTCCCCCTCGTCACAAGATCGAAATTGTTTCGTAACAAATCCCGTTAAAGTCGTCATAAACCCACCAACCTCTCCGCCCCCTTGAGCGTGATGTAATTTATGGACGAGTCCTTACATGAGCTTTTTTGTGGAATGGAAAAGGAAAAAAATTACCCGATTATAAAAAAAAATTTAGGATGCGTTTGCTTAAGCTGTTTTCTGTCTTGTTCGTTCCGCAAAAATATCATGTAGAAAAGGGGAAATACTCCTTAATAGGCTTTTAGGCAAAGAAGAGTTTTAGGCGAAAAAAGTTTTTTAGGCAAAGAAGAGTTTAGTATGGTAATTGAATATCGAAAATAAATGAAGAGAAATATTGTTTAAAAACGCTCCTATCAAATGTTTCAGTATATATTATATAATACTTAAATAAGTTTTTTATTTTATTTTATAGCCTGTAATCCAGTTGAATGCTTCGTCGATCCATGCGCTTATCATATTTGTCCTAATGGTTCACAATGTGTGTCAAACTACTGTAAAGGCTGCAACGCAGAGTGCAAACGTAAGTTCATTTATGAAAGAAAATACGTACAACAAAATGATAGACATTTATTATTTATATTTTTTTTTAGCTTGCGTAACAACTTACTGCAAAGTGGACCCCTGCTTAAATTACCGTTGCTCTCCTGGATACCATTGCGTCGCTAATTACTGTAATGGTTGCAACGCTGAGTGCAAAAGCATGTTTTCTTAAATGTGTTTTATTGTAAGCAAATTTAAAATTTAATGCAATGGTAATTTTTACTTTCAAGTTTATTTTAGAATGTCCAACAACCGTCTGTAAAGTTTGTCCATTATTTTGTGTGAAAGGCAGTAGATGCATAATCAAAAATAATTGTGGAAAATGTACATACTCGTGTTCCAAGCTAATTAATCCAATGTGTAAGTCAGATTTTATATTTATGTTGTTTCAATGTTTCCAGTGGCGTTTTTACAATGAAGCCTAGGTGTTATCTTTTTGACAGAAGACCTAGGCTTTTTTGTTATTAATTCATTTTTCTAAAAACATTTAATTAGTGTTTTATTTGCGATGCTCTGTTATGAGGTTATAAACTCTACTACCTTACAACAACATATTATTCAATCAATTTTGAGGCTAAATAGAGAGACACATTGATGGTTTTGCGAAAAAATGTTCAACTTATGGTAATTTCTGGGTTGACTTCACAAAACTTCTTTAATGCCACATTATTAGCCGTTGCCTAATTGCTACTACCCCAGCGGCGTCAGACGTCTGAAAGACCTTAATACGACGTCTTAAAGATTTAACAAATTTTGAACTTCCTTTAAGATGTTTAAAAAAAGTTCTGTGCCCACTTGGCACAGAACTTTTGTTAAACGTCTTAAAGAAAGGAAATAAATATTCTTTTAAAAAGATATTCGTGACAAACTAAATTAAAGCATTTAAAATCGCCGGCGTTAATTTTGCAAGTAATCGTTCCAAAATAGCATTTTGCAAAATGAATTAAAAAAAAAAACTTTATTGCTACATACGAAATTAGCGCTTTTGGAAGTAATACTTGCGAAACGAACGCTTTCGCTAAACGATATTTGAAAGTCCATTAAAAAAGTTTGTATACTAAATAAATATAATTGTAAAAATTAAACATCTTACCAAAACATCATGTACCAAAACGTTTGTAATGAAATGTTAACTTCAGAATTGCCAAATATTAACAACTTAAAACTATACTTTTTAAAACAATATTTTACAAATTTTTAATGATAAAAATTTATTTCGGCATAAAACAAACTTATGAAATACATCGCCGTAGATGTATTTTTCTCAAACTTGTGCACAGATGTTTTATGAACTAAATAACATGTATTTGCGACACGTAATATTTTCGGTAACTAAGTTAATGAAAACACCACGCGTCAAAATAAAATGCTCCAAAAAAAAATTGCACCCTTAGAAGACTTTCTTTAGCAAAAACACTAACCGTAAAACTTTTTTTTTCGAGTTATTCTATAAAAAAACATTTTTACCCATTCGCCATCTTGCATCATCAGGGTTTATGTATATTGGCGCAAAGAGCTGTTTACTTCAAAATGTCAATTTGCCAACTATTTTTTGAACTGTCATTATCACCAGTACCAATCCATGCTTAGAAAACTCGGAGTTCTTTTATTCATGCTTAGACTAAAATATCATTTGTTGTCTAATATTTTTAAAGACCTTTTCCCTATTATAGATCATAAATATTAAACAATGCATTCATTGCTTAAATATCAGATACCAAAAACTTTGTTAAAACAACCCGAATTCTCAATAATATACCAAGGGCCACATTTGTGGAACTCATTTCTCCCAAATAATTGTAAAACTACAATTTCAACTCAAACTTTTAAAAGTATTTTTAAAAACAGTTACTTGATTATGACGTTTCAAATTTTATTTTATTTTTAAAATATTCTCTTTTATTTTTTAACTTTTCTTTTTGTTAAATTGTTATCTTTGAATCATTAATTTAAATATATACATCATTACTTATCTTTAAATTTTATTTGAAGTTTTTTTTTTTTTAGTTTTAAGTTGTAATGTATTCAGAAAAAAAAAGAAAATGTAAAACTTTTTAATCAAAATAAAAAACTAATAATATTTTACTGAGATTATAATATATTTTTTTTAAATGATTATTTTATTAGCTTATTATTTGTTAAATATGTAAATTTTACAACGATAAGACTTTTGTCTTTTGCCTGCTCTTATCAAGTCTTAATTAAAAAATTTTGTAAATAATTTATTATGAAGTTACGAAATATATATATATATATATATATATATATATATATATATATATATATATATATATATATATATATATATATATATATATATATATATATATATATTTTTTTTTTTTTTTAAAAATTTAACTTTTTTTAAAAATTCTAACTATAAAACTTGTATTTTTACTATACAATATTAACAATATTTATATAAAATATTTTGTTACAATTTTTTTTTAGATGAAGTAAAGAAATAATAAAGTTGCAAAACACACAAATTTTTGTTGATGAATTTTAAAATATTGTAAAGAAAAATTTTTGAATAAATATTTAAATCAATTTGGATTTATTTTTTAATTGCATATTTTGTTTCAACTAATGCTAAACTTTTAAAAATAATAACTATCGGAATATCATTTCCATATGACCCCCCTCCTTCGTAGAATCGCCCCTGTCTATAAAATAAATCAAAACATTTGTCATTACCAAACACATCTTGATCAATACAAAATTTTAATTTTTTCATTTGGACAAAATATATCGTTATTTGCGTCAACTTTTTTATTGATATGGAAACATAAACTAATTTGATATAGGCATGTAAGCATAAAACAGAAGGAAGTTCATTAAGTGGCAAACATCAAAGTTGTCTCTAAAGTATGATTTAACCGCCAAACCTTTTTCATTTTTTTTTAAGCTTTTTTAAACTTCAATTTAACATTTTTAAACTTTAATTTTTTGTGTATTTTTTGTGTTTTCCACTCATTTTTCGACTATTACTGTTATACATTTTTAAAAAGTAGAATTTTCTTATATAATTTTTTTTTTTATAAACCTTTTTCTAACCAAATCATTAAGCAAAACAAAACTACCACTAAAATACATAAAACACGACAAGGCAGCGTCAAAAAAAGAGCTGAAACAAATTTGTCAAGTATTTGCATTCCAAAAATGTCTCTTATTTGAAAGTAAAAAGACTCCTTGTTTACAACATTAAAATATTCAATAAATATTTTATCTTTCCGTAAACAGTAAAATGTTACAATCGAAGTTTTCACGTTAGTTTTTACTCAAAGCAATTTACTTTCATAATCTCTTTATAGTCGTTTGAATATTACTAAACAAAAACGTTTCAACTTTTATCAGTGCCGCCGAAAGAGGGGGACACCTCTAAAAAGATTAAAACCGACGATCTTGTTAGAGGATTTTGTAAATTGGTAATCTTGTAAATATGTTTTATGAAACTATTGGATAAATTTATTAATAACAATAACAAAATGGTTACTAATTAAGATCTTTTAAGTCGATTTATCGATGGCACAATTAGAAGAAATATATGAGCAGAAGTTTGTATCCCGTCTTACTTAAAAGAACAATAATAAGCATTGTATTGCTTTGAAATAAATCACTTTACTTTTTCTTCAAAAATAATTATCTTATTTTATTTAATATAATAAGTTAATCTGTGTTAATTGTGTAAGCAACTTGAATCTAGATGTAAAAAACTGTAGGAGTTAAGAATATGATGAAGCCAGTTCTGCCTCTGAGTATATAAATGGTCTTTTCGCTCGGGTTCTAATTATAAATTCAAAGGTTCTGTATATATATTTTCATGTGTACTCAGAATTTCTATCGGCTGAAGTTATTTCTATCGACTGAAGTTATTTGTTTGAGAATGTAATGTCTAATTAGTCTCAGAGGTTTTATCTAATTATTCAGAATTATTTATTCAGAAAATAGATAAATTTTTTGGAAGCTAGTATTTTAGAGATTGAACCTCGAACGCATAAGATGGAGTTTGGTTTTAATACTTGTCTTGAACATTGTTCATCAATTTTCCATGTTTATGTATCATAGCTTTCCTTGAATGTTCTGTTAACAAAAACACACCTAATAAATCTACTTTTTAAAATTCCATTAGCACTTTTTAATTTATCTTTACTTTATTTTTCGCAACATGTGTCTTTGATTTTACTTTACCTGTTACTTGGTTACTGCAATCAAAAACTTTCAATGTCTCAGACGGTTTGCACCTTATTACAACTCTTAAAAATAAATCTGTTACCATCAGAAATGATATATACATAATTTTCAAAATAGCTGCTATGAAGCATCATGTTTGCATCCCTAATAATATCCCTAAATCTTAAATCAATATTATTTCCTGGATTTGAAAATATTAATATAGCTTAAGGATACATAATGTAAGAGGAGTTTTTCTGTTATGCGTCTGTTAAAAGGCTATACAAGAACAACATGTCAGAAGATTGATTTAATGATTTTGCATTAATGTATATCCATTAAAAAATTGTTCCTTGTATTGATAATGTTATTAAAAGATTTTCTATAAAAAATTGACGACCTCATTTAAATGATTAGTGTTTATGCTGCTTGTTCTAACACATACTAACTACTTTATGTTAAAAAATTATTTTCTATTATCACAGCTCTTCTTATAACAGCTAACAAATATGCATGGAAACTCCTTGGACCAAGACATCAATGGTGTCTTTAACAGGATGGATGTAACCCCATACTTTTGTTTGGGATTAGCTATATTATTAGCGGTCATTGTTCAGGCAAACACTAACCTTTGCTTTCTGTCATTAACAATTTCTTTCTATCACTTTCAAATTTAGTAATAAAATAAAACAAATAAAAATTATTTTTAATAAATTTTCTCTCAATCAACCTAAAAACAGTTTTTGTGCCATTTAAACCAGTTTTTTACTGTATTTGTTCTCAAAAACTGCTACCATTCTTTTCATTTGATCAAAAACGACCTTCTTTTTTGTTGTTAAGGTTTAACTTGGTTTAACTCTTTTTTAATCTTGTAATATAAAAATAAATATAGCCTTTTTTTATACTATGTATAAAAATCTACTTGTATTTGTATCTTACTCTTTTCTGTTATTAATTTTTTTTTCTGATTGTCCATGTCTGGAATGAAATATGTTTCTAGACATGCTGATGAGCCCTGATATTGGGCGAAACAATCATTTGTTAGTTTGCATATTTATTGTTGTAATATGTTATACCAAAATAGTAGAAAAGAATCGACAGTTCTATACTTTTTTAATAAAAAACACTTTTTGTTAAAAAAAGTTTCTAAGTAAAACTAAGATATGAGCTTCTCATTGCAATAGAAAGAAAACCCCTTTAATTCTCCAGCCCAATGATAAGAAGATTCAAAGGAGGCAATTGGAGTCATTGCCCCTCCCACCTCCCCAGATAATTGCTGTTGTTTTTTAGAGATATTGAGCACATTGTTTAAAAACGTAAGTAAATTTAGGAGGCTGTTTCAAAGTGGTATCAAATTCCGATAAAATTGTTTAATGCAAATTCTATTTTTTGCGCTTGCCTGCTAAAAAATCAGTGGTCTGGATAGTCGAAATGGAAGTATAAGTTTATTTTAAAAATATTGTATTATTTTGAAAATTCAAAATTTTATCACATCCCTAGTATTTACATAACAGGATAAATACAAATACAGGGAAAAAAAAAGCAAGTACAGGATTTAAATACTCAATGTTATATGACAAAAATTTATGGAAATATTAATAAGTTAGATAAAGTACATTAAATATCAACATCAAACTTTGATATTTATGTATGTAACTTTAATGATCAAAGCTACATCAAACCACCAACTTCATCACACTTCGAACTTCTAAAGTGTTTACAAATATACGAAAGCATTTATACTAGCGGTACGGCAACTTAAATTCATAATTTTCAATAGTTGATTTTAAAATATAGGGGCGTTTTTTTAGAAACGTGAAACTTGACAAATATGATAGCAAAAAACTTGCAATCTCTGATTTTATATTCCTTTCTATAATAAAATAAAGTAATGTCTTAAAAAAAATTATTTTATATTAAAACTTTTTTATCATAGAAATATAAAGAAATTTTTCCTTTAAAAAATCCCTCTTCTTTTAATCAGTGCAGTAGCCTAGGAGTCAGAGCACTTCCTCAAACCTGTCATTAAGACTTCGATTATTAGGTATTACTAAAAAAAAAGATCCTTAAATTTAGTAAAGGGCCCTCTAAAATTTGAAAAAGGTCCCTAATTTTGCTGCCTCTCCCCTTACCGGATTAAGGGAGCCACTTGGGCAGCCTAATAATGGCTCTGCTTTTAAGAATTTTCTTCAATTAAAATAGTCCAACGTCTTCGGGTAATTATTTTTATAAAAAATATAGACTTAATAACGTCTTCAGGTATTTATTTTTAAATGCGTCACTTGTTTTTCCCATTGTTAGAATCCGACACATTTAGCAACATTTAACTTTAGCTTACAAATTCGGGTAAGAATAAAAATTAAATACTCCAAAAAATTAGTAATTCTAGGAATAGAATTACATATGAGCGACAGGGGGTCATGGTAGCTCGAAAAGTGGGGGGCATGGGCATATTTTTGCAGGCCACATATATATATATATATATATATATATATATATATATATATATATATATATATATATATATATATATATATATATATATATATATATATATATATATATATATATATATATATATATATATATATATATATATATATATATATATATATATATATATATATATATATAATACGCACCATGAACGCCGAATTGACTCAAATTTTTTTTTCTACTTTTATTTTCTTACGGGCTCTTAAACATAGCCGGGTCCCGGGACAACATACCACCTGACCTGAAAAAAATTTTATGATGTTAGTTAAGGGTTGAAGAATAAAAAAAACTATTTCATAAGCATGGCTTTAATTTGCAAATTGACGTTCCAATTTACAATAACTTTGAGCAAATTCAAAAGGTTTAAAAACTTTCAAAATTAAGAGCTAAAAATATATTAAATTGAAAGCGGAGTAGATAAAGCGTAGTAGATAAACTAAATATTTAAAAATATGGCCTCATTTTTCTTACCAAAAACTAAATATAACCATTGTAAATTAGGTACTATTTTGAAATGGGAAAAAGAATTTAATTTAAAGTTTGAGTATGATATTGAGGAAAATGATATTGTAAGATTACCTGCTTGTTTGCAAGCAATATGAATCTTGTATTAAAAACATTAAAAAATTTTCTATTTTGTGGATTCGCTCTGGAACTCTGTTGATTAAAAACGATAGCGTTAGAATTCATTGCTACATTAAACAAAATAAGGAAGCACATCTCATCGATTATCGGAGTAAATCAGTTGCGGAAGGTTTTAAAGAATGTGTAAATAAAAACACTATTAAAAAAGGGCTACGAGAAATGGGTGAAAAATATCGTGACTCACTTAAGAAGAAATTCAATGTAGTTTACTACTTTGCAAAAAAAGAACGTCCATT